TTGTCCCCCGTATGGGCTCTTAAACAACATTTATTTATAAAATTAATTTGTAAATTATTTAAAACGATTTAAATCTACCTCTGGTGTCGTTTTAAGTCTCTTAAGTCACGGAACGACTTATTACAGTTAAGCCAACCACAGGTGTACGGCTTCTCCCCTATAAATGACATTAAAATTTAGTTAAATAAGCAATTAATAAATTGAAAGGGTTGTCGTCAGTACCCGTGTGTTTCCGTTTGTGTCCTTTCAGATCGTGAGCCCAATTACTCCGATACGAACAGTTGGGAAAATCACAGACATATCGTTTAAGTGCCGTCCCGTCGGCGCCCACTTCTATAGGCCTAACCTTTGGCGCAGACCTCCGCTGTTTGGATGTCTGATCGGCACTCGGGTTAGTGGGATCTGAATTGGCATTTATGGCACACTGAACAGCATTGGTCGACATTATCAACGCCTGTTCCTCCCGTTCCTTCTTCTCCAACATTTTCCTAATCATGAGGTATTCGTGTTCCCAAATCCGCACCTATTCTCACCACAAATACATATATTTTAATATTTATACAATATATCAGTCATTCATAAATATTCTATCGAAAGAATTTACTAAATAATAAATTTTAAAACTTTTACAATTGGATTAAATACTGAGAAATAAAGGAAATAAAAAGTTAATTGTTTGCATAAGTAATAGGTATTTATGGATACAACGAGAGATAGAGAGCTACAGCCGAGACACTAATGACACAAATGGTAACACATATGCAGACCTCGGACTCGACGTCGGGTATAGACCACCGCTGGTTGTCGTAGTCCTTAAGAACGGCGACATGTCTTTCGAGAGTGTATTTAAACTTTTCGAGGGCTTCGCATAACTTCTTCTGCAAATCGAGATCTGTTCTCAGTTTGTCGTTGTCTTTGGCCAACAGTTGGTTCGCTTTGTGGAGGTCTTCGATCTCTTTTGACTGCCGGCCAATGATAGTGTCCTTCTCTTGGATCACGCAATGGATGTTCTGATTATTCAATGTATACGAGATATACGGGTCCATCATTTGGTCCAACGGTTCCGCGCGTCAAAAGTCGCCAACACTTGGAGTCAACGCCACTTAACATCCATTTTAGTATCATTTACGCCACTTTCACCACTCGTTCACTCTCTCACTGCCTCTCTCGCAGTCTCTCTCACCCTCTCTCACAAACTTGTAGTGCATTTGCGCTGTGAATGCTATCCTAAAGGCTGGCAGAGGGAGAGCCCAGACATACAGTCCTGACATCACTTCACAATCGCCTGAAATGCAAACACAGAAACAATTTGTGTTGAAAAACATCCAAACATTTGCGATAATGACCTCAAAAAAGTGATGCTTTAAAGTGGGAGACAAACGATTCAAACAATCATTTGCTGTCACTGTCTGTCACTTTAGGCCCAGAAGTGACCGGAGATTACGGTCTCAAACACTTAATGCATTTGTCTATCTTTGCCATCAGTTTTAAGCCGTTTTGTTAATGTTTTTACAAAAGTTTGATAAAACTTATCGATACTTTTCTTTTGGTTAAAAGTTTTTTGAGTTTAATAAACCATTAGTTATTTGGTTATGATTTTGAAATGAAAAATTACTTCATTTAGTAATTAATGCACTAATTATGCAATAATTATGCAATAATTATATGTTTTAAATAAAAATCTAGGCAAATATGTTATAAGGTTTTTAAATAAATTGCAAATAATTTGCTTATTATTAGCATAAGAATAATATTTCATATTATTTATTGCATATAATAAAAGATAAATTACATAATAAGTAACTCAAAGTTATTTTTGGAAATTATTATGAAATTTAAAATTCATTTTAAAAGTTTCGGTCGTTTTTTATTCAATTANTGCTTTAAAGTGGGAGACAAACGATTCAAACAATCATTTGCTGTCACTGTCTGTCACTTTAGGCCCAGAAGTGACCGGAGATTACGGTCTCAAACACTTAATGCATTTGTCTATCTTTGCCATCAGTTTTAAGCCGTTTTGTTAATGTTTTTACAAAAGTTTGATAAAACTTATCGATACTTTTCTTTTGGTTAAAAGTTTTTTGAGTTTAATAAACCATTAGTTATTTGGTTATGATTTTGAAATGAAAAATTACTTCATTTAGTAATTAATGCACTAATTATGCAATAATTATGCAATAATTATATGTTTTAAATAAAAATCTAGGCAAATATGTTATAAGGTTTTTAAATAAATTGCAAATAATTTGCTTATTATTAGCATAAGAATAATATTTCATATTATTTATTGCATATAATAAAAGATAAATTACATAATAAGTAACTCAAAGTTATTTTTGGAAATTATTATGAAATTTAAAATTCATTTTAAAAGTTTCGGTCGTTTTTTATTCAATTAAAAAACAAAATGAAGAAAAAATCAAAAATCTAAACCAAATATTTTATCTCAATTCAAAAGAGTGTTTAAAATTAGTGCCAAAACATGTTAATTGAGATAAATATTTACAAATGTGCCCAAAATATTGGTCAATAATATTCATGTGAAACACATTTAAGATTTGCATAAATATTTCATTTGAAAAATTGAGTCAATATTTTGTTTATTTAAATACTGGGATAACTATTTTGAATAAAATTATTGTCTCTCGACTTTTATGTATTTATTTCTTTATATAAATGTCTGAAAATAATAATTTATTTGAAATAATTATTATAAACAGAAAAACAAACATTTTTTAATTTAAAATTTTATGATAAGAATGAAATATATATTATTTTAATACTAATTTCATGACTTCCTATAGAGTTTGTGCGCAAACTTTTATTTTAAACATGTTTTGCATTATTTTTGTTTCTTCTTTGGGAACAATTTTGTCTGAATATTAAGTTTGTTGTTATCTTTGATCAGTGGATCCAAACTATAGTAAAATATATGTTGTGTTTCTTCGGAGGCAGAGAAGAAGAGGAGAGAGATTTCATAAATTCCTTATCGGATCAATACTTAGGGATGAGCTGTGAAATGAAAAAACTACTAATAAATAAAAAATGATTTTAAACCTGTTTTTATTTATTAATTAATGGCTTTATTTTACTTTTCATTTTAAGCCATCGATCGATTCGTAAGATTTCCTTTTCTGTTAAATACAAAAAAATAAAAGATTTATTGCGTTAATCGATAGCACATAAGACATCATAATTAATGGTTAGACTATCGGCCGCTCGGATGAGAGTTTGTTATTCTTGATCGGAGTTGACATCAGAGACACAACACTATTGAACGCAACCCACGAGTAGATACTTATCTCGAAGGATGGGATAAAACGAAATTAAAAATATACTGCAAATAAATTTTCAGTCATAAAAGTGAACAAAATATAGCATTAATTTCTGTTGAGAAGAGAAGGACTACCGGAGAAAAAGTAGTATAAATTTCAGGTTTACTTTTTATTATCTTTATTGACAGAATTGTGCAAAAATAATATACTTTATGTTAATTTAAATTGGAAAATAAATTGTCAATAAATTATATAAAAATATGAATTAATTAATCAAATCATTTGATAATAAAATAAATACTATTTTAAAATAAACATTTCCTTTCGCTATTGACGTTAACTCCGTATAAATCAGATAAATTGTAATTAATATGAGAAACATTTAATACAAGAATAGATTTCTTAAATTTAATTAATTAATTAATCGATTGATTGAGTGATAAAATTAGCGAAAGTGTCGAAACGAATCGATTGATTCAATAATCAAATAATTCGCTGAATATTATCGGAGTTCTCGTCCATTGAAATCTCTTCGATGAGATGTCTGAAGTGTTGTCTGCACTCATGTCTCTTCAATTTCATGGTCGGTGTCAGGAAACCGCTCTCTTGTGTGAAGGGATCGCTATGCAGAGCGATATCCGTTACCTTATTTAGACATTTATCAACATATCATTACATTAATCAAAACTATTTATAAATTCACAGCAATAAGAAAGAGATGTCACGAAGTGTGCAGAAAAACCTGTTCACTAGTGGATAATCCCTCACGTCTTCCGATATTGATTATATCGTTTAAAACAGTTTTCTTGAAAGCCTTTGCAAAACAAAGAAATGCACGACAATTATGTTTTGTACGTCTAATTAAAGGCATAACAATAAAGAGATGTGAGTTTATGAACTGCAAAACTGACCACATTTTTACAGGCCTCGGCCGCAGACAACAGCATATTATTCTCACTGCACCACAGATTTATTCCGTCCACATCTGGTATTATGATAGCAATTAATGCAGTCTTTAATGGGAAAAATGCATTTATGAAAAGACATTAATAATCGCGACTTAATTGCAGTGATATTTACTTGAAAATAGTTGGCGTCGACAAAGACCTGTCCCACATATTGCGATTGGATGTATATGTTCTCAATCTGACAATTAAATTCAATGATAAAATACTACTAAATTAGCAATTAATTCAACGCCAGTATTAATGAGAACCCAAACCTTGTCCGGACACATGAACTCCATGTCTAATGAGTTACTCAATTGAAACATATGCTCCTTTCGGTCCAGTATTTTAAGCGATCCGTTCTTTCGATTAAATTAATTATAAGATATTTTTAGCGATAAAACAAACAGAAAAAAATGAATCAAAATTCGTGACAATTTATATTAAAATAAGGCACTAATGAGTGATACCTTAAGCCATTGACCGACATCTCCGGTATGAAACCATCCCTCGTCATCAAACGCTCGATCTTCCGATCCCTTATAGAAACCCGAGAATACGTTCGTTCCCTTAACGCAGATCTTTGAGAGAGAGAGAGAGAGAGAGAGAGAGAGAGAGAATCACTTTATTTTTATTTGTCATGTCTTAAGAGGAGAAACTATTATACAAAGTATATGCATTTTTGTGTGCTTTTGTGTTTCTTCTTTCAAATTATGCAACAAATAAAAAGCTCAGGTATTATGTAATTGGAAGCACTTATACCTCTCCGATGCCATCTCTTTCGGCAACAATATTCAAATGCTTTACATTCACTAATTTAACTGAATTACAGCAAAGCGGTGGACCCAAAGAGCCTGAAAAAACACATTTATTATAATTTTGTTGTAAAAAATTTTGTTGTTTTATAACTTTTATAACTTTATTTTTTGCTTGTTTTGAGTAAAATTTTTTGCTATTTTTGTTTTCACAACACAATTGAGTATCGGTTTTCAGCATTTTATATAATCATTGCTTAATCACGTTCATAATTATCGATAAAAATAATTCACTGGTTATTGACTGCAATTGCAGTACACTTTTCTATACAATTCAATGGATAACATAGAAAAAAGTTCAAAACATTTTCCCATTTTTTGTTTTTTGGTGAAACTGAATACTCGTATTGTATTATAGTATACATTGAAATGAATGCAAACATTTGTTCAATAAATTCTTAACTAACATTTAAAGGATTGTTTACCATTAAGATTATGATAAATGCATTTAGTGTTTAAATTAAATTTGATTGATTGTGCATTGAGTGAGTCATCGCTTCTCCTAAACCAAAGATTTA